TTTGCAGTTTCTCTGTTTGACTCTCAACAAGTGTTACCGGTTGTTGTCTTAAATTGAGAATGCTTATACATAAATGATTTTGAGTCGCCTCTGCTAATATACGCGGCATACGTGAGTAAACTGTTTCGTTATTTCATTGATTATAAATCAGTATTCAAGACGAGCCAATTCATTTTCCCGAAAATTTGGGCAATACAGTACTTTTATTTTTAGTATTATACTACATCCATACATGTCATGTTTCCGACAGCGAGGGAAGTACTGTCTAAACTCTTTAGACCAATTTTTTGTTTTTAAATTCATCACATCGTATTTTTTTTTACTTAATCATCTATGTCGAATTTTATATAGCATAGAGATGGTAAAACGCTAACTTGTGGTTTATGAGTTCGCCTTGATTTTTTTCGGTCTAAATAACCTTTTAGTCCGATAGAATATTTTTTGGTTGTCTTTATAATTTTGTCATTTTTTTTGGCAACATATTTTCTTATTTTTTTATTTCTGGCTTGCTTTTTTGTATTTAATATGTTTTCCACGCATATATTTTTTCTTAATTTTTGGTTTTCCACCATTCTGTCTTTTTTATACTCTTATTTATTGTTTTCGTTTTTCCACCACTTCCGAACACAGCAGTTGGAGTAGGATTTTTGAATTTCTCTCATTTTTCTTCTACTTTATTTGTAACTTCTGACAAACTAAATTTTGAGTTTATTATTCCTTTAAACTTTTGCTGTTTTTTTTTTAATTTATAGTTTTTTATTTTTTCTTACCTTTTCTTTTTTCTTTTATCTAATTGTTATGCACTTTTTCTCTTCAAAAAGAATTGTAAAAAGGCGGCGAACGAGTACTTTCATATTTTCTCGACGTTTCATTACCCCTTGTGTATGAAAAAATAGTTCTTCTGTTTCCGTCTGCCGGTTGCCTGTCTGTCCTCTTGTCGAATATTATTATCAGAAGATCGAAATCACCGAACCGATTATTATGAAATTTTAGACGTATGTTAGCAATATCAATGATGACGTCACTTCAAAATTTTGCATAGTAAATGCTATTTAAATTATATAAAATAACATAGTCCTGTACCTCTCGTTTATGAATCCGCCTTGATTTTTTATCCTAAGCATCCAAATTTTCGCAAAACTTTACAGATTGCATAATAGCATTTTATAATAGTGTAAGATGAACTCGTCCAGTGGTAGCCCATATAGTAAAAGAGAAGTTATCCGTTCGATCTCCTCATGCATCACTCTTGTTTTCTTGTACTGAATTTCGCAAAATCAAATCTTATAATTTTTTGAAAAAGCAAAATTTGTTGAAATATAAGGGTTTCAAATTGCCATGAATTATTTTTGGTTTTCTGTCAATTTTTGGCCACATTTTTTCCAAAATTCTTGTTTTGCTTTCTTCATCGAGATTTTTACTTAATTTCATTTATCCTTATATTTTTCGTAGTCTTCTGGTTTACTTTTAGTATTTAATTTTTGGTTTTATGTTTACATTTCACAGTTCTGTTTTTTTCACCTTGTAGCAGCACTTAGACTACAATTTTTTAATTTCTCTCATTTATTCTTCTGCTGCTTTATAAATTCTGATCTTCTGACTGACTGAATTTTGAGTTTATTATTCCTTTACACCTACTTTGTCACTTGGTTTCTTTTAATTTCCGGCTTTTTATTTTTTCTTGCGTCTTTTTTATCTTTTATGTAATTATTGTTCACTTTTTTCTCGTAGAGTATGGAAAAATAGGTCTTCCGTTTCCGTCTGTTGGTTGTATGTCTGTCCTCTGTGTCGAATTTTATTAGCAGGTAATTTCGGAAACTACCGGACCGATTGTTATGAAATTTTATATGTATGTTAGGAATATCGTGTAGATGGTAAAAAGCAAACCAAAATTTATTTAATCATCAGCACCAACAATTTGATGATTTCATCTCAAAATTTTGCATGGTAAATGCTATTTAAATTTTATAAAATAACATACGCCTATATTTCTTATTTATGTATCCGCCTGATTTTTTATCCTAGGCATACAAATTTTCCCTAAAAATACATTCATAACAGCATAAGATGAGCTCAGTCCAAGCCGGTTCGATCTACTCATTTTTTGAGTATCGTGTTGTTCAAACAATGCTATGTAAGAAAAAATGGCAAAATATAAAGCCCGCCCACCCACCCCGTCTCAATCGTGATGATTTTTTTTATTCTTACAAACTTAAGTCGTGGTTAAAATGGTAAACTTTTGTAGGGAAATATGAATTTTACAATTAGGCTCCGCCTCTAGGTCTGGCAACGAATGAAAACTTCATTACTATTTAGAGCAGGGCAGGTATGGATGGAGCTTAATCTTTGGCTCCAACTTTTCCTTAATATACATAGTATTCTTTGAATAACAGGAAACTTAAAACATGTTTAAAATGGTAAATTCTTGTAGACAAATATTGATCTTGCAATTAAGCCCCGCCTCTCGATCTGACAACGAATGAAAAATTTTTCATAATTGAGAATTGGGATTGAGGCGGGTATCTTTGGATTTATTTTTTTCTTAATACATATGCATGTTTTTAGTATTCTTTAAACAACACGATAATTCGATACTCAAAAACACGTTTTTAATTTCTTGTAGAGACATAAGGATTTTGTAGTTAAGCTTCGCCCCTTGAGTCACGATGAATAAAAAAAAGAACATCACAATTGAGATAGGGCGGGTGGGCGGGGCAACATTTTGCCTTTTTTTTTTTTTCTTAATATGTGAAGTCACCTTTCCACAACAAGAAACTTAAACATGTTTAAAATGGTAAATTTGTATAGGGACATATCGATTCAATTACGCTCCGCTCCTCGGTCTGACAACGAATGAAAAATTCGTAACGATTGAGATAGAGACGGATGGGTGGGGCTTCTCTTTTGGTTTTCTTGTAGAAAAATAAGGAATTTACAATTAAGCTCCGCCCCTCGGCTTACGATGAATAAAAAATATCATCAGAATTGAAATAGGACGGGTGAGCGGGGCTTATATTGTTTCCTTTTTTTTCTTAAGATAAATAGCCATCTTTTCACAACAAGAAACTTAAAACATGGTTAAAATGGTACATTTTTGCAGGAAATATGGATTTTGCAATTAAACTCCGCCCCCTTGGTTCACGACGAATAGAAAAATCATCAGAATTGAGATAGGGTGGGTAGGTGGGGCATATATTTTGTAATTTTTTTCTCAATATACACAGACATCTTTTCACAACAAGAAACTTAAAACGTGGTTAAAATGGTAATGATATTTCCTTATACAAATTTTCCATTTTAAATATGTTTTAAGTTTCATGTTGTGAAAAGAGATCTACATATATTAAAACAAAAAGGCAAAATGTGAGCCCACCCACCCGCCCTATCTCAATTGTGATAATTTTTTTTATTCACCGTGAATTAAGGGGGCGGAGCTTAACTGTAAAATACTTATTTCTTCACAAGAAATGAAAAACATTTTTTGATTATCGTGTTGTTCAAACAATGTTATGTATATTAAGAAAAAATGGCAAAATATAACATAACCGCTAACCAAAATTTGTTGAATCATCCGTACCAACAATTTGATGACGACTTGATCTCAACATTTTGCGTGGTAAATGCTATTCAAATTCTATAAAATAACATACCTCTATACTTCTGGATTATGAATCCGCCTTGATTTTTACTCCGTTTGTAAGTTCTGAGTGACTAAATTTTGAATTTATTATTCCTATGATTCCCTGTTTTCTTCCAAATACATCTTTAATAACATGTTCTGATGAAATAGTTCTTTGTCTTTATCACACATACTTTTGAGATTCGGAGGAAGAAATTCCAATTTGGAATCTTAAACTTGTATTTTACGGGCTGTCTTTCAATTTATTTATTCATCCGCTATAGCAGTTAATGATATTATCTCAAAAATGTACTCGCTGTAGTAATATATTTTTATTCATTAGAATGTTTAAAAAATTAATGAGTGAATCAAATTTTACTAATTTTCCCAAAAATCTATAAAAACAGTACTGTTTTTATTTTTCTAGCGTAAGCTAAGGAAGTATTGTAAAAGAGTTGATCCGACGGACAGCTACTTTCATGTTATCTCGACGTTTCATAACCCCTAGTGTATGAAAAAATAGGTTCCCGTGTCTTCTGTGTCCAATTTTATTAGTAGATAATTCGGACCAATGTAGACGTATATTAGGAATATCGTGTGGATAGTAAAACTTTGCTTTACAAATGCTAAAAATAAATTCTATAAAATAACATTCTCTTGTACTTGTCGTTTATGAGTTCCCCTTGATTTTTATTTATTATTATTTATTTAACGTGAATGCGCTAAAACAGACAATACCGTCAAATCTTGCTGAATATCAATAGATCTCATTTGTGTTTATTATTTTGGTGGTAGGAGACGAGTGTAATTCTTACTAAGTGTTTCTTCCATTCATCTCCAGATACAGAGGATTTGATTAAACGCGGAATGATTGAAGCATTGTTGAAAAGGTTAGGGTCTGACGCATTGAAAGCGGCACATCCGAGGAAATTTGTCAAAGAAAAAGTTTTTGTAACGAATTCTGAGGTGTATTAAACGCGCAGATGAAGAACGTGCCGAACCGAACCCTAAAGCTCTTTTAAATACCGCCCGAATTTGCTTTTAATTGGCTGACGGATCGCTGCGACGACTTGAGAAACTTCCACCAGAAATAGGGCTTATTAAAATTAAATCATTCGATATCACAAACGAGATTGGGCCAAGTAAAGTTTTACTTAGAGCCATTTTCTATATTGATTCGCGGCTAATGTGAGGGCTTCCAGCGCGAAAGCGGGCGAAGCAGTAGCTCCAAGATAACTCCCCTATCGAGAAACAGTGAGACAAAAAATTGCTCGATAACTTCCCGTCATAGTTTCCGATAACCGTTCATCCGATGCGGGTTTTTATTGATAAGTTTCAGAACTCAATCGCAACCGGCCTGAAATGTTTAATGTATTTCCAGGTGACCTTTGTCGGCCATTAAACTGCAAGAAAAAGGAAATCTGCCTGCTGGAGGACTCATTTACGGCGGTGTGCGTTTCCAGAAAAGAGCTGAAAAAGAACGGGTGAGTACGAAACTTGAATGGCATCATCCTCTTTTGTGTGAATTTTTTCTCCCGACCTCATTGTCCAACTTTCATTTGTCATCTTCGTCGGCGGCACAAAGGCCGCTGATCGCGCGTCTTTGTTTCACGATTTAAACTTTACGGGGAATGTTTACTCTTTTAAGGTTTTATCTGAAGCTCGAGAACTTGCTGTGATCTCGTACAGCACAACAGAGATCAACCTTTGATATCAAAGAGCTGGATGATAAAACTAAATACAATAAAATTTACCCATCTCCACAGGAAGTTTGTTCTTATAAGAGGAACTTTCGGATCAACATCGCACGTCATTAATAATTCCACGTCAACTGGCTTGATTGTTATTAAAGTGAAACATGAGAAGACGAGAGCTTTAGAAATAAACGACCCCTGATCTGCTCTCCTGACTGGACGAAAAGGGGTAAATTATCTACTAATCGCATGGTCGATCGGTTACTGTCCACTGAGCAATCTTTGCCAACTTCAGACGACATTTCTTATGAAGATCTAACATTTTACCGAACTTGCGTTTTATACCCTCAGACCCGACCTACCGATGTATCAATAATGTAATCCAGAAGGATCATTTTTATAGCGTCGTCCCGGTACCCGTTTAGAGACTTAATTTAATACAGCATTGTAATTTAAATTTAATTTGGTAAAGGTTTACCGCCAGGAGCTTACGATAATTTAATTGGAGTCAAAATGAGGAAGGAACAATAAAAAACGGGTTCTTTATGTAATTTATTTTAATAAAATATAATCACAGCCTTGACAGGCCTAAGTGGCATACTTGAAAATATTTTTTAAAACTGTGTGGGTGTAAAGCACTATCACCTGGAAATTTAATACGAGAAACAATTTTTCTCACCTATTGCATTTAACAACTGCAATATGCGACTTTCACGTAATTTAAGCATCCACTCAAGTCGTCTTTATACATTTCCTGCCATATAAGCGATAAATTGAATTTTATTCACAATCTGGGACAAGAAGTATATTGAAAAAAAATAAAAGCTGCAGAAATCAAAACAGTAAAATCGATGCTCGATGTTTTCGCTGGCTTTTTCCGGCATTAGAAAAAATGAAATGAAAGAAATCATGAAGTATTTATGCAGATATCAAATGAATATAATGAACATCTCAGTACATATAGATTCTAGTTCTGATCTTGATCAATTATTTTCAATCTTAAATCTCGACCCACGCATTCTTTTCCATCGACATTGAGGGACAAGCCACAAAGAAAGTTGGTGAAGAACCTCAAGGAAGGCAAAAGATGTTCTAAAGAACTAAAAATCAGTGGGAATTCGATGAGTCGGATAAATTTAAGGGAGTCATCGGATCGGAATCGTAAATTTAGGGTTTTGTGCATATCACATCCCTTATAATCAAACATTAATCTAAGGGTATTTAAACAAATGTTCCCTCGCCCCTGAGGTAGAAGGTCTATTTTTTTTAATGATAACCCCTATATTTTAAAATAAAAATATATGTGGATTGATATCAGTTTGGATAGGCTCAGCAGTGTAACAGTGTAAATGATTTGATGAATAAAATAAATTGCTTCGCTTATTAATTTTTGGGTCAGCGTGAACAGCCAATTCTAAAAAATTGGTCGAAGATTATTTCGACAAAACTTCCCTCGCGCTTAAAAAGTCATCCCTTTAACCTTTCAAAGGAGCGGGATTTTCCCTTGAAAAATTAAAAAAATATAAAATCGGATTTTGCGATTTTCGTTGTCATAACCTTTATAAAATAAAAATCAGTGATGTAAATAACACTCCCGCAAGTGCAGCTAACCAACGGGAAAAACGTAGATATTCTCAACTTCTCAGTACATGCTTAACTGCAAATTAGGTAATGCAATTTGATTGATTTTGTTTCCTCGACGTAGAAAAGAAGAATTAATTAAGTGTACTCAGTTTTTTTCAGAAATTTGAAGAACATTTGTTTATTGAAATTTGGGAAAAATACAGATTCATAAACCACTAGTGCAGGAGTACCTTAATTTATAAAATTTAACATTTACTAATATAAATTTCATGCTATTGTTGGAGAGAACGATTAGGCAAATTTTGATTAGCATTTTAACATCTAACCAATATTGCTAATAGATATACAGTAGAACCTCGATAATCCGAATTAATTGGGGAAAGGTGTGTTCGGATTAGCGGTTTGTTTGGATCAGCGAATTCCCCAAAAATCTGAAAAGGAATTGAATAACAACTTCATACACTCCTGAAAACAAACTTCAAGAAATAAACCTTAATTTTTTTTAAACAGAAATAAAGTATTCTGTATTCGTATTAGGTATCCCTTATGCAAATTTCGACCCATTCTCGACGATTGTCGAAATTTAACTAAATACATTTTCTTGTAGATTTTGGGCCGCAGAAGTCACTTTTGGCTTCATTTCTTCGATAATTTCGACTGTTTTTCCAGAATTTCACACCGAATTTTCCGAAAATATTGCTCCGTTACCATCAACACGCTATATTTTTTTTGAATCAGAATGTTGAAATCTGCGTTCCTGAATTTTTTCACGATTTTTAGACAACTTTTTTAAAAGGGAAATTTTTTCCCTTCCCTTCAAATTTCGGAGAATTTTTGACATTTTCGAAACTTAACTAAATACATTTTCTTATAGATTTCGAACTCTGGAACTCACTTCGGGCCCCGTTTCTTTAATAACTGCAACCGTTTTTCCGGAATCGACCGTTGAAGTATCAAAATTTTTAAAAATTTTCGAAAATTCGCATTTCGTTCCGATTCTTTCGAAAATGTTGCTCCGTGACCATGACCACGCTATATTTTTAAAATCAGCATGTCGAGATCTACGTGCCTGAATTTTTTCACAATTTTTAGACAACTTTTTTAAAAGTGAAATTTTTTCAATGGTCCCGCCTATCTTCAAATTTTGGCCAATTTTTGACATTTTCGAAACTTAACTAAACACATTTTCTTATAGATTTCGAGCTCTAGAACTCACTTCGTTTTTTCAATGGTTCTTCAAATTTCGGCCAATTTTTGACATTTTTGAAACTTAACTAAATACACTTTCTTATGGATTTCGAGCTCAAAGTAGAACTCACTTCGGGCCCCGTTTCTTTAATAACTGCAACCGTTTCTCCTGAAACGACCGTTGAAGTATCGAAATTTTCAAAACTTTTCAAAAATTCGCATTTCGTTCCGATTCTTTCGAAAATGTTGCTCCGTGACGATGACCACGCTATATTTTTAGAATCAGCATATCGAGATCTACGTCGCCGAATTTTTTCACAATTTTTAGAGAACTTTTTTAAAAGTGAAATTTTTTCAATGGTTCTTCAAATTTCAGCCAATTTTTGACATTTTTGAAACTTAACTAAATATATTTTCTTATAGATTTCGGGCTCTAGAACTCAGTTCGGGCCTCGTTTCTTTAATAACTGCAACCGTTTTTCCGGAATCGACCGTTGAAGTATCGAAATTTTTAAAACTTTTCACAAATACGCATTCCGTCCCGATTCTTTCGAAAATGTTACTCCGTGACCATGAATACGCTATATTTTTAGAATCAGCGTGTCGAGATCTACGTCCCTGAATTTTTTCGCAATTTTTAGACAACTTTTTTAAAAGTGAAATTTTTTCAATGGTCCCGCCTATCTTCAAATTTTGGCCAATTTTTAACATTTTCGAAACTTAACTAAATACATTTTCTTATAAATTTCGGGCTCTAGAACTCAGTTCGGGCCTCGTTTCTTTAATAAGTGCAACCGTTGAAATATCGAAATTATTAAGAAATTTTCAAAAATTCGCATTTCGTACCGATTCTTTCGAAAATGTTGCTCCGTGACCATGAACACGCTATATTTTTAGAATCAGCATGTCGAGATCTACGTCCCTGAATTTTTTCGCAATTTTTAGACAACTTTTTTAAAAGTGAAATTTTTTCAATGGTTCTTCAAATTTCGGCCAATTTTTGACATTTTTGAAATTTAACTAAATACATTTTCTTGTAGATTTTTGACGATTTTTGATGTATAAACATAAACACTTTCAAGTTGTTTTTCTTATCGAGGATAACATAAGGACGTAACGTAGTGGAGTCCATCGGACAATTTGGTACTTTCATATTTTCTCGATATTTCATAACCCCTAGACAAGGCCGTAGCTAGGGGGAAGCTAGGGGATGCTGAGGCCCCCCTAGATCTAGACAAGTTATAATTAACCAAATGTGAGTTACATTTTTTTTTATTTGTGTGAAGTAGTTTTCGACTCCTAATCGTGTTCATTTATTTCAGTACTCTGTAATTTTATTTTCTAGTCCAAACGTCACAAAGTTTTTGAGTTTGAAAGCGGTGTAGTTTCATTTCTAGATATTTGAAGGGTATTTGTTATTTTTATTAGTTTCCTATTTATCCTCATCTTCCCCAGAACATCCAAGATTTTACTTCTTGATTATTATAAATTTTTCGTACTTATATCAAATCTTGTGCAGATCTGAATGCTGCTTGTGATTCTCCCAGCCCCCGTTTTTCTTTCAGTTCTCCTTTAACAATCCCCTCATATACTTTTAGAGTCGTACTTAATAATGATATTCCTTATATGTAGATGTTATCACTGGAATCTTCCATTCCGTTGGTATTTTATTAGTCCTCCATGCCGATTTCTTCTTATATTTTATGTTTCCAATGGGGTTCCATTTTTCTTTCCTTAGATTTTTCAGCATACCTACGGTATGGCATCTTTTTCCATCTTTGTATGATTATTAATGTTTGTTATTATTTTTTGTCAGGTTAGCAACATATTTAAATTTTATGATGGCATACCTGATTGTCAAAGTGATACTTACAACATCTGCCATCGTCTGATTCCATCAACACGTTTGTCGGGAGTGCTCATGTCAAAATTGACAATTGTGAATTGACGTACTAGCACGGATGCCAATAACTCAGAATTACCAACACAAAAATTGCTTCAATCATCAATCAAATTAA